GGTCCTGAGTTCAATTCCCGGCAACCACATGATGGCTCACAACCATCTGTAATGAGGTCTGGTGCCTGCAGAATCCACACATATCCAGAATATTATATACATAATAAATAAATATTTTTTTAAAAAAGAAATACACTTTAGTTTTTAAAAGAATAAATTGAAAGTAAAAGAAGATCAAAGACCATGCAAACTCCAGACATAAGAAAAGAGGGACTTAGGTCTGGTGACCATCCATAACTTTGCTCCCGGAACCAGGAGGCAGAAGCAGACAGAGCTCTGTGAGCTCCAGGCCAACCAGATTTACATGGTGAGACTCTGCGTCAAAATAAAATAAAATAAAATAAAATAAAAAGAAACATGATTGAATTCATATCAGGAGATGTAGATATAAAGAGGTGTTGAGAAGGGTGTGGTTGTACGGGCAGTGATTCCAACACCCTGGGAGGCCCAGATCGGAGGGTGGAGATCTAAAGCCCTACTCAAGCTATTTCGAGAGACCCTGTCTCAACCAAAACAAAACAACAACAATGTGTTCTATCATAATAAATGACCAATTCATAGAAATAAAAAAAAAAAAACCTCCTTTAATCCCAGCAGGGACAGAGGCAAGGATCTGTAATTTCCTGGTCAAGTCTGGTCTATCTGGTCTACATAGTGAGTTCCAGGCCAGCTAGGCAGACAGCATAAGTGAGACTCTGTCGCAAATAGATAAAGATACACAACTTTAAATAAGTAATAGAGCTACAAGACATTTGAATCAAAAATGGGCAGAACCGGGTCTATTAGCCCAGTTACTATCACCAAAACCAAATCTTGACATAGCAAAAGGGGAAAATAAACAGATGGAGAATCGTACTTTAACGCCTATGTCAAATGGACACAGCCTAGATCGTCTGAGGGGAAGAAATCTCAACAGAGAAAATAACTCTTTTAAGAGACAGGCAGGCTAACTATATATCCACATAAAAACCTGAGAGAGTTTCTCCTTCAGCCAATGGCCTTTGAGAGGCTGGACCAGTTTGGGCGTGGCCTTGGGTACCAAAAAACCTACAGGACTGCCCGCTCCCTCGCTCCCCGCTCATCACACCTGGCTGTTGGATTCTGTTCCTGTACCTGGTTGTGATCTGTGAGTTCTCTTTTAATAAAGAACCCCTTATTATACCATATTAGAAGCTAGTGTGGAATTCCTTTATTCGCGTTCCTCCCCATCTGACGCGTTCCCCTTCAGACACCCCACTCCCCTTTTTTTCCTGCACCATGAAAAGTCCATGAAAAAGTCTCTTTTCTTTCCCAGGAGGTTCAGCTCTGATTGATGTGATTGAAATCCCACTGGAGGGTTCTTCTGGGGCCGCCGGAGTGATGTCGACATTTTCTGGAATGTCAACAGCCTCATGGCTGTGATTGGTTTTCGTTCTTGCTGTAGATGCGGCCAAGTTTAATATAGCTGTGTTTTTTTTTTTTTCAAAATGCTCGATATTTTCTAACTTATGAGATCAGTGAAACGCTGATACCACAAAGACTGAAATATTGAAAAACAATATTTTAACTGTAGACTAATATTCCTTGTGAAAGTTTTCAACTGGGCCGTGGTAGCGCACCCCTTTAATCCCGGAGCTCGGGAGGCAGAGGCAGGCGGATCTCTGTGAGTTCAAGCCAGCCTGGTCTACAAAAGCTAGTTCCAAGACAGAGCTACAGAGAAATCCTGTCTCGAAAAAACAACAACAACAACAACAAAAAAAAAAAAACTAGAAACTAGTTCCAGGACACCCAGTATGGTTACACAGAAAAACGCTGCCTCGAAGAGAGGAAGAAAGAAAGAAAAGGAAAGCGAGTATTGGCCTCTACAGTTTTTGTTGTTTTTTTGTTTTTCAAGACAAGGGTTTCTCTGTGTAGCCCTTGACTATCCTGGAACTTGTTTTGTGAAGGTCAAACTAGCCTCAAACTCACAGTGACCTCGAACTCACAGAGATTCACCTGCCTCTGTTTCCCAAGAGCTGGGATTAACAGCATGTGCCCCCACTGCGCGGCCTATTTTAAATTTTTTATGTTCATTTTATATATATGGGTATTTTACCTGTATGTATGTCCGCGCACCACATGTACCTGGTGGCTTTGAAGGCCAGGAGGTGGCTTTGGAGCCTTTGGAACAGTTACATGACTGTGAGCCACCATGTGGGTACTGGGATTCTAACCCAGGGCCTCTGGAAGAGCAGCTAGTTTTCTTAACTGCTGAGCCATCTCTCCAGTCCTTATTCAGCCTTTAAAAGGAAGGAATGCCTTTAATCCCAGCACTTTTATTAGAAAGAAGGAATAAATTCAGGATATCAGCACAATTATAGCACACGACTACTAGTGGTCCCGTGGTGTGTGTGTGTATGTGTGTGTGTGTGTGTATGTGTGTGTGTATGTGTGTATGTATGTATGTGTATGTGTGTGTGTATGTGTGTGTGTATGTGTGTGTATGTGTGTGTGTGTGTATGTGTGTGTGTGTGTGTGTGTGTGCACATGAGCACACTGTCCTTGACCTTAGGAATCCTCCTGTCTCATGAGGCCTATGGAATTGCTAGGACTGCAGGTGGTGAGCACACACCCAACTTAATGTATCACATTTTGAAAGAAATCTGAAGTGTAGATTTTAGGTGATCTTCCCACATAAAAATATTAAGTATCTGAGGTAATGTGTATGTTAATGAGCTTGCTGAGCAATTCTACAATATATACATGCTTCAAAACATTTTGAAGGGTAGAAGAGGAGGGGAGGAAAGGAGGAAAATGGAGAAAAATGTATAGCTCAATAAAAACAATTTTAAAAAAGAAAACAGAAAATGAGGTAATAAACCTTGAGCCATGTGGCAAAACATAGATAGAAATATGGGTTAATTTAAATGTAAGAATTAGCTAGTAATAAGCCTGAGCTATTGGTCAAGCATTAATAGTTAATATAAGCCTCTGAGTGGTTATGTGGAAGCGGCTACAAGACAGGGCGGGACAGAGAAACCTCCATTTATAGATCCTATTTGTTGGTATAGGTGGGGTGTGGATTGCATGAACAGAGCTCCCCCATGCAGTACTTGTGTTCTTAAAAAGAAAAAAAAAAAGAATTTCAACATGACCCAGTATGAAGCAGAGTTGGAGTCCATTAAAGAGGCTTTTTATTCCCCCCAAGACAGAATTTCTCTGTAGTTTTGGAGCCTGTCCTGGAACTAGTTCTTGTAGACCAGGCTGGCCTCGAACTCACAGAGATCTGCCTGCCTCTGCCTCCTAAGTGCTGGGATTAAGGGGGCATGTGTCACACCGCCAAGCTCATTAAAGAGTTTTTAAACAAAAATTTAAGCACAGAGATGAGCAGAGATGGAGGCATTCGGGGAATGAGTAGACATAGCCAAGATGTCTTCTGAAGTTCCGTGTCACTGAGTTGCAGAGGAGCCTCTGCTTTTTCCATACATGAGACCCTAGAGCGCTTCTGGTTGTGCACTGGATGGCATTACAGCTGGTAAAATAGAACCCAGAAGCAGGGCTGCAGAGGAAGTTAATGTCTTCACAGTAAACAAAAGCTTAGCCTTTTTGTAACAGGGCACCAGACTTCAGTCCCCAGACCTTAGCACAACTGACTCCATGATGAAAGTATCATTCAGACCATAAAACTCATTATGTAGACAGGCACCACCTGCTAAAACGGAAGCAAAGACCTAAGCCATCAAAGTCCATCGTTCTGGGAAAGTCTGTAAATGTACTAACCTTGCTTTTTGGCTTTTGTAAGTTCTGCTTCTGGCTGACTGTTCTTGTTAACTGAAGTATGTCAACCCAGAGCATGGTTTTTGTGCTTCAAAGCTCACCCTGAAAAAGGCTCAGGGCTATCCTTAATATTCAGTGTAGTCCCTGGCTGGCTAATGAAGACTTTCTATTGTCTAAAAAAAAATCATCATGACACAAGTTTAATTTGTCAATTGAAAAACAACATCCAATTTTTGGGACTGGAGAGATGGATCAGCGGTTAAGAGCACTGGCTGCTCTTCCAGAGGTCCTGAGTTCAATTCCCAGAAACCACATGATGGCTCACAACCATCTGTAATCACTACCATCTATAATCATATAATCACCACCATCTATAATGCATACATGCAGACAGAACACTGTATACATAATAAATAAAATCTTTAAACAAAAAAAATAGCATCCAATTTTTTAAAAAAAACTATTTAATTAAAGTGCTTCCAGATTCCTGTTCCGCAGACTCTACATAAAATAATGTTTATTACTTCAAGGCAGGGCTGGAGAGATGGCTCAGAGGTTAGGAGCACAGACTGTTCTTCCAGAAGACTCAGGTTCAATTCCCAGCACCCACATGGCAGCTTACAACTGTCTGTGACCCCATTTCCAAGATATCTGACACCTTTGCACCAGTTCACATAAAATAAAGTTAAATAAATTACTTCAAGGCAGTAAGTTGGAGATAAATTTTTATCTATCAATAAATAGCTCCTAAACCGGGTCTTACTAAATGGGGTAGATTATATCCAGACTTAGAAAGTGGTGTCCTGGCTGGACCTGCGGTATTTGTCTGTGATCCCTGTAAAAGCCGCAGTTGCTCTTTTCAACCAGATGCATGTGTTGTTTGGCTTGTTATATTTTAACTTTTGTTTTTGAGGCTGTGGAGCTCAGATTGGTCATCCATCCTCCTGCCTTAGCCTCCTGGGATTATAGGCATGGGTATACATACTTATGCCTATACCAAGCCTGGCTAAGTTTACTTTTGTTTTTCTGTTTTCATCGCTATTGCGTCAAACTCAAATTCATATGAATGCCAGGTAAGTGTTCCAGCACGGAGTCCCTCCTGCCTGCACACAGGTATGCTATGGACAGGTATGCCTGGACGGGTCGGTGTAGGGACCGAAGGGTATCGCAAAGTTCATAGACAGGAAGAACTGGGAAGCAAACATAACAACAAATTTTGTTTTTCTCCCTTCCTCTCCCTTCTCCTCAACGACCATCACACATGATGAAGAAGGGATGGACAATTTATTCCACATCATCACCTGAGCCACAGACAAGGCTGAGTCGAGGGAGAGGAACGCAAAGCTGGTCCCTGGTCCCCAAATCCTCCTGTGCTCATTCTTTGTCATGGTGAGGACAGACTTAGTCCAGCGTGGCTGGGTAGGGGCCTGAGAAACTTTTAAATAAACCTAATGACTCCTTGCTTCTCCTTCTGCTTATCAGGATCGGGGATGTCCTCTTGGCTGTTGGAGGGCTGTACAGTGCTCCTCCGAGACCCTTGCGATGCGCTGTTTCTAGGACTGCTGATGATGGAAGAGGAGCTGTCCATTATCAGTTTCCAGAAGTTTTTATGGTTGAGGTAGCAAAGGATCCCTGGGGGGAGGTGGGAACACAAGAAAAAGGGGGAAGCAGAGAGCTGCATGGAAGGTGACGGGTGAGCTGAGCCAAGGGGAAGGTTAAGTCCCTATGGACCCTTGTGGTGGGCACGAAGCAAGAGAGAGGTCGCCTGCCCCTCCTTCCACACATCCTCTGTCTGACCCACCCAAGTCCCTTCCTTCCCCAGGACCCTCCCTAGCCACTCACCACAGGTGAGATGCAGGATCAACACCAGCCAACCAACGAAATAGGTCCACCCGATGGGAACCGATATGTTCTTCTTCAGCTCGTACATCCAGAGGTTAACAGGGAATAGCAGGAGGGTGAGGAAAATGAAGGAGACTGGGAGGCAGGAGTGGAGAGATTTACTCTCACCTAAGAACCGCACAGAAGTGCTGCCTCATCGGCTGTGCTACAGACGCCAGCCACTCACAACACTCACAGCGGGGGGGCCCTCCTGACTCCAGGGTTCCAGACATAGTTTACCCTCCACTCTCACTGCTCTCCTCCCAGCGCCCCAAACGCTTGCTCCGCCCCCAGAGAAGAGGGAGACTTGCCCAGGATGATGTGGGTTAGGGAATTAAGAACCTTTTTCAGAGCTGGGGGGCACCTTCACAGAAGCTCAGGATGATCCCAATCAAGCCAAAGAAAGGCATTTTCTGCAGGCGGGGCAGGTACAGCAGGTGCAGCCAGGCGGTGAGGGCAAAACCCAGCCCCACGGCCAGCGTGAAACTTATCTTAGCCACCCCCAACACTGGGTGGTTTGTCCACAGCTTAAAATTGTCTGGGAAAAAATAACAAAGCAGGAACTCAGGATTCACAAACATGAATTGCGGTCAAATCAACAAACATGAGGGAAACACTCAGGTTATTCAAGACCAAAGAAATGTAGAGTTAAAATCATAAAACAATACTTTCGTTCAAGTAAGACTCCTGATCTAGAGACTGCTTGGCAGTTCCAACCACTTGAACATAGGAATAAGAGCCAGGTGGCTCCCCCCATGAGCTCAGCACCAGCAATGGGAAAGCCGAAGTAGGAGGATGGACCTGGGTTTGAGGCTAGCTTGAGCTACATGGTGAGTTACAGACCAGGCTGGACTACAATGTAATGTTTCAAAAAAATAAAAATAGCCGCGTGTGGTGGCTCACACCTTTAATACCAGCACTAGAGAGACAGAGGTGACGACCTGTGTGAGTTCAGCCTGGTCTACACAGTGAGTTCAGGACAGCCAGAGGTGCATAGTGAGACCCTGTTTCAAAAAATTAAAAATATTAGAAAAATTTAAAAAGCCAGGCATGGTGGTACATGTCTTTAATCCCAACATTCCAGAGGCAGGCAGATCTCTGTTAAATTCAAGGCCAGCCTGATACTTTATATATAATACATAGCAAGTTCCAGGACAACCACCAGGGCTACAGAGAAACCCTATCTCAACAAAACAAAACAAAACAAAACAAAAAAGAAAATCGGGACACAAATAGCAATTCTCAGAAGAAAAAAATATGCAAATTGTCAATGGACTTACAAACACTTTAGTGGCTCTCCCTTTTCAAAAGATACCTTGCAAATGCGCTTAGAATTTTAGACCCTGAAGCCTGGAATGAGTGGTAACTGGCCAGTTCCTGCGGTTGACTTCAAAACATCTTCCCTTTGTCCCCACACAAAGTGGTCAACTTCTTTTGAATGAGTCTAATTTCCTTAATGAAATGGGCCACACCTTTCAGGTTGCGCCTTCCTGTCATGACGGCATGTTTTTCAAACCCTTTACTGTTTTTTCCACTTCTAAGTCTCACTACAATCTGCCTAAAAGAAGCCAGATTCCTCCCGCAGACCAGTTCCAACTGCTTCTGTTCACGTGAGCAGATGTGGTCACAGCGATGACCCCCACCCCCACTCTTCTGTTGCCTGTTCATCTCCGTGACTAAAAACCGACAGAAACAATGTAAAGTGAAAAGATTTAGTTTGGCTTCAGGATTCAGTCCATGGTCACTTGGCTCTAGATAGCGGGGCTGTCATCGTGGCAGGAGCATGGGGCAGAAGCTGTCAAAAGCACAGATCCTTCACTTGTTAGAAGACAGAAAGCACTAGATGTGGTGGCGACCACCCTTAATCCCAGCACGTGGGAGGCAGAGGCAGGAGGATCGCTGTGAGTTCTTGTCCTGCTCTATAAAGCGAGTTCCAGGACAGCCCCTAGGGCTACACAGAGAACCCATCTCCAAAAAACCAAAAACGAAACCGAACAAAAAAGCAATAAGTGTATAAGTCAAGTGTGCTGGCTCATGCCTGTAATACCAGGTCTCAGGAGGCTGAAGATGGCTGCCAGTTCAAAGTCACCCTGGGCTACATAAAGAATTCTAGAATAGCTTGGACTACACAGTGAGGCTCTGTCTCAATTAAAAAAAAAAAAAAAGAACAAAAACCAAGCAAACAGTAAAGAATACATACAACAAAGTAAAATCTATTTAAAGCTTCATCTGAGGATGTGACTCAGTGTGGCGCTCAGTGTGTGCAGGGAACTAGGCTCGGTTCACAGCACCACAGAGCAAGAAACATAGAATCCCATATCTACCTTTATGAAGCTTGTGCTTTCTCCTGTATGTGAAAAGCACTCAAATAATTGCCATTTCATGTGGCAGGACCCTGAGCAACGTACTAAATCTAAGCTCCAATCTTCCCATCTACAAAATAAGGTCAATTATCTCCGTCTCTTGTGGCCGGTGGACAATTCGGCTGGAAAAAATAGCAGGCCATCGATGACATTTTCTGTTATTCCACATTTGTCCTTAAAAAGCTATGTGCTCTAGACCTGCTTTCGGCTTATGTGAAGGAGAATGAACAGGTGGAGACCGGCGTCCAGAGCTGGACCCTTCTGAAGTGGTGAGGGCTCATGAAACGGAACTTGACTCAGAAATTAATGCAGGAAAGGAAGCCAACCATCCAGGGGACGTGCAGAGCTGAACCACAGAAGCATGACGTCAGACAGAAGGGAAGGAAAAACGGCAGGAACTGGGGAATGAGTGCAAGAGAACGTTCAGGGGGTCATCTCAGGGCTCATGGTACGGAAACCGGGGACACAGCACCGGGCAGGTGAAAGATGATGTCGAGCAGAAATGATCCAGACATCTCTCAAAATTCTGCATTTTTGAGCTTTACCTAAACAACTTTGGGCTTTACCTAAAGAGATGACATCTTCTACTGGGTCAGGTGAATTCACCAAAGAAAGAACATGATCCCTAGAGATCACCATGCCGGCAAAGCCATCTTGCAGTCCAAAGGAAGATGGCTGATAGGAGGGAAGAAGACCGTGGGGGCCACCACTGAGGTCAAGGCAGGCTGGGCCTGGGCCGGGATGAAGGGACTCACCTTTCCCACTGTCTGAAACGGAGCAGCTTCTAGAGATGCAGGTGTACAGGAGCCCTGTGGACATTGTATGGATCGAGGTGTAGAGTCTATGGGTGATATTTTTGGGGTAACGCTGATGGAAACGACTCTTAGAGGGGTACACCCACTTTTTGGAGAAGACCATGACCAGAAGCAGGAGGAAGGCCACCAGGCTGAATTCTGAGGCCACCACCTGGGCAATCCAGCGGGAGCTGTGCATGATTCTCCACTGAAAGGGCAACTGGGAGTTGCGGCGTTGCTGCGAAAGTGACCGCCTGTTTCTGCTGGGAGAAGGGACAGCAGTCCTGCACGGCCCAGCCTACCCCTCCTCCAACCCCCTCCAGGCCTCCTTCTCTTCCTAGACCTCTGACGCCCACTCCCTCCCAGCTCCACACTCACCTGGTTCTTATCGCCTGGATCTCTTCCTCAGTCAAATCCGGTTCCATCCCAGGCCCAGGGTCAGAGGAAGAGTGGGGGAGCCCCTTTTCATGCACCTGAACTCCAGATCCAAGAGAAGGCCTCACCCCATTCCTCTGAGCAGGCCCTAACTGCCATGGAATATTGCTGGGGAGCAATGAGATGGGGGATGGGCTGTGGATTCAGCTCCAACCCTTTCTCGAGGTTCTATTCCTCTGGCTCCAGGCCCCTACACTGTGGATCAGACAGGATGCCTCTCTCCTGGCTGCTGCCTCCCTTTAGCTAAGGTGATGATTTCTGAAAAAGCCCATTTCTCTTCCCTAACCCCAAAGGCTTACAGACAAGGGAGGAAAGGGAGAAAGACAGCCTCTAGGAAAAGCCCTGAGCCCCTCCTTCCTCCTTGGACAGCTCCTCCAAACCTGTGTCAGCCTTCCCACTACTTCCCCAGCCTCTCCCCTCTCCCTGTCTCACCTCTCTATGAGTTCCAGACAACAATGGTCAGCAGGCTCCCCCTTCACTCCCTCTTTCTCTAGGCAGGAACTTTCTATGGAGCTCAGGCTGGCCTGGACCTCCCTATATATCTCAGGATGACCGAACTAAAAAAAGAAATAAAAAGGAAAGGACATGACTGTTCCTAGGTATGGTGGAGGAGAAAGTTCATTGTAGATAAAAGGGAGAACGTAGGCAGAGACAGGGACCTCTGGGAGAATCCAGAGTGTGAAGAGACATGGGGAAGAGAAGGGAGAGGAGAGAGAGAGGGGAGAATCAGGCGTACAAGCTAAGAAGCCCAAAAGACAAGGGGATAACCAAACTGGCTGGACTATATAGGGAAGGGCAGCCTAGTCCTTGGGCTGGAGAAGTTGGGGGTGGAAGTGGGCAATGAATATAGGGGCTGAGGGATGCTGGAAGAACCTGGCAGCCAGCGTCTGCTTCGATATTGTTAAATAAGCATCACAGACATTTATTTGTTCCTGGTTTGAGACCTGACAGTGACCTCATAGCAATCCCCTTGCCCCTGCCTCCCAAGTGCAAGGATTTTATAGGTGTAGGGTACCATGCCTGGCTGCTGCTTCTTCTTCCTCTTCTTCTTCTTCTTCTTCTTCTTCTTCTTCTTCTTCTTCTTCTTCTTCTTCCTCTTCCTCTTCCTCTTCCTCTTCTTCTTCTTCTCCTCCTCCTCCTCCTCCTCCTCCTCCTTCCCCTCCTCCTCCTTTTTTAGGATTTATTTCTTTTTATGTGCACTGGTGTTTTGACAGCATGTATGCCTGTGTGAGGGTGCCAGATCCCCTGGAACTGGAGTTATAGACGGTTATGACGTCTCTAACTGGAGTTATAGATGGTTTTCTGTCATGTAGGTGCTGGAAAATGAACCCAGGTCCTCTGGAAGAGTAGTCAGTGCTCCTAACCTCTGAGTCATCTCTCCAGCCCCATCCTTGACTTCTTTACTTCTTCTCAGTACCAGAAGAGGGAGGGCACAGAATGAAGGTAGACCTGAGATGTCACATAAACTGATGATTTTTCTAGCCTTTTGAGTATATGCACGCATTTCCTGCATGTTAGAATATGTCCGTGTTCTCCTGAGGATTAATGCTAACTGGTTTTCCTTCTGTTGTCACTTTTCTGTGTGCAGTTATACTCTTGGATCTCTTCTTTTCTGTTTTGTTTTGTTTTTTTGTTTGTTTGTTTGTTTGTTGTTTTTCAAGACAGGGTTTCTCTTTGTAACTGTGGAGCCTGTCCTGGAACTCGTTCCGTTCCGTAGACCAGGCTGGCCTTGAACTCATAGAGATCTACCTGCCTCTGCTTCCCAAGTGCTGGGATTAAAGGTGTGTACCACCACCGCCCAGCTAAAAAGAAAAGTAAAAATTGTTATTTAACGGACCAGCAAGATGGCTCAGTATGTAAAGGCACCTGCTACCAAGCTTAGAGACCTGATTCTGAATCCTGTGGCCCACAGTAGGATAGAACCAACTCCCGTAAGCTGTTTTCTGACCACATTCACTCATGCACACACACAGAGTGATGGAGAGAGAGAAAGAATAAAATGATAAAATGTAACTTAAAAACAAATATATGTGGGTGATGGAGAGATGGCTTGGTAGTTAAGAGCATCGGTTGCTCTTCCAGAGGACCCAGGTTCAATTCCCAGATCCCACATAGCAACTTATAATTGTAACTTCAAGATCTGACACCTCCAAACAAGCATACACGCAGGCAAAACACTAATGCACATAAAATAAGTAAATGTAATTTAAAATTTTTTAAGAATTACTTTTCCAAAGATAACTGAAAACAGCTCAAGCCAAGAACACACCCATCATCCCAAGGTGTGGGAGGTGAAGGTAGGGCATCAAAAGCCCAAGATGATCCCTGGCTACGTAATGAGCTTGAAGCTTTCGGAGCCTACAGGAGACTCTGTCTCAAAAGTCAAGAAAAACCCAAGCATATTCCCACACATCTTTAATCCCAGCACTGAGGAGGAAGAGGTGGGTGGATCTCCGGGAACTGGAGGCCAGTCTGGTAGACATCGCAAGTTCCAGGCCAGCCAGGGCTACATGGCATGACCCTATCTAAAAAAACAGGAGTGGGGCGGGGGTATGCAGGAAAGAAAGAGGACAGTTCAAGAAAGGAAATGTAATCTTAGAGACTTCCAACTCAGCGGCAGAATGTTTATGTAGTCACAATACACAAGGTAAACACTGGTGGATGGATTTCCACTCTTAGCATCAACAGACAGACAAAGCTTGGAAAATGCAATAAGGATGGACACAAGTAAACACAGCAGCCTCCACATTACCCAATAAAAGCCTGAAGAAGTAAAACAAGGAGATTGGGAAGGGATGGGTGGCAGATTTAGGCTCAGGGAATACATTTCCTAAATTTCTCAACCCCTGACTGGAGTAAGTCACATATCCTATAACAAGAGCTGGACATTTTTTCTGTAAAGTCCAGGTAATAAATATGCAGGTAGCTGGGTGATGGTGTTGGCACACGCTTTTAATCCCAGCACTCAGGGAGGCAGCGGCAGGCGGATCTCTGTGAGTTCGAGGCCAATCTGGTCTGCAGAGTGGGTTCCAGGACAGCCAGAGATACACAGAGAAACCCTGTCTTGAAAAACCAACCGACCAAACAAACGAACACTCAGGGCTGGAGAAATGGCTCAGCAGTTAAAAGCACTTACTGCTCTTTCGGAGACTCCAGGCTCAGTTTCCAGCACTCACATGACAACTCATGTTGCAACTCCAGTTCTAGGGAATCCAATGCTTCTCTTGACATTCACAAGCTACTCTACACAGATGATGCCCAGATATACACTCAGGTACACCCCCAACACACTCTCTCTCTCTCTCTCTCTCAAGCCTTTTGAGTCGTCTCTATAACTACCCAACTTGGCTAATGTAGTCTCAAAGTCACCACAGACAGCTGTTCCAATATATAAAACATAGTTTTATAGCCCTTGTCCTCCCCAATCCTTTGTGTAACCTCCAGCTCCCAGTGGGATTAGGCTCCAATTGTCCTGGTTGTCTCCAGTTTTGATAGCCCTTGTTGATCTTTGGCCCTTTCCTGTCTCACTTCCTTACGTCTCTCTTAACTGTGTCATGGGTTCACCTCCCCCATAACTTCCTACACTCTGATCTTTGTCTGGTGGTCTGCTTCTGAGGAAACCCAAATAATGACATGCCACTTTTTAAAATACTGTACTAGCTAATACATAGAGGCTTGGCTCTATGTGGGTACAGGAAATGCAATTTATTTATTTATTTTCAAGCATATGAAATGCAATTTAGAAAACATACACACACAGGAACAACTCAATGAGCTTCCACACTGATTTTATGTGGCCTCTATTTTAGGCAGCTTCTACTCAGACTTAAAACCAAGAGTAAAGCTAAGATTCTCTCCCTCTATATCAGATAAACTTAGATGACTTTCCCCGGCTTGTACCTTTAAATATCTTTTAAATAAATATATAAATATTGGCTTTTTCTATCTTAAGTTTCAGGTCTCCTGACTTAAACTGGCTTTTTTAGGCTCTACTGGAGGACCCTAAAAGTGGATTCACCTGGGCATATATTTCTGCAGGATTTATAAAAATCAGGACAGGTTTGGTAGGTCATGTCTGTAATCACAGGACTTGGGAACCTGAGGCAGGAGGAGTGCTGTGAGTTAGAGGTCAGACACAGAGGAAGACACTGTCTTAAAAACAAACAAGCAAAACCCAAACAAACAAACTAACAACAAGCAAAAAACCAAAAACAAAAACCCAAAAGCTAGGTATGGTTGTTATGTACCTTTAATCCCAGCACCCAGGAGGCAGAGACAGGAGGATCTCTGTGACTTTGAGGCCATTCACCCTGGTCTGTATACAGAGTATCAGACTAGCCAAGTGACATAGTGAGATCCTGCCTAAAAAGAAAAACAAAATAAACAAACAAACAAAAAGAAACGCAATCAGTTATTGAGCGCTAACTAAAGGAAGATGAGTTAAGGAAACTTTCAGCTCACCTTTAGTGACTACGGTAAGTGGATTTCAGTGATCCCCTGCTTTTGCTAGTCATGTGTTTATATAAAAGGTATTGCCTTTTGAATACGCACTTAGTGATTGAAGTGTATGTGCATGTGCCTGTGTGTGTGAGACACAAGCAGCCTGGCTGACCTCAAACTTTCTGTAAAGTCAGCCTTGAATTCTGGATCTTCTTGCCTCCACCTCGCCATTGCTGGGGTTCAGATGGGCACCACCACGCTACACTTAGTGATTAGGTTCTAATGAACAGCCAAAGTGATCTGCAGCATGGCCATTACTCAGTTAGTGGGGGAACTAAATGCCGCCAACAAGTCAGTGGGTTTGAAAGCATATTCTTCACATGAGAACTCAGATCCTAGGTTATCTGCTCGACCCTGCTCTGCTTGGCTATGGCTATTTTGAGCTGTATTCTGGTTCAGATCTTATTTGTTTAGTTTATTTGAATCTTGCTGGGAGCTCAGGATGACATTGAGCCAAAACTACCCTGCTTTAGCCCTTCTAAATGCAGGGAGTCCATACCTGTGCCACCATCTCCCACCGGTTTGCATGTTAAATGTCCCCTGAAGGGCATATATTGAAGGCGTAGTTGAGGTAGGTGGTGGGAGGAACTTTAGCATGTGGGGTCTAATAGGGCTTAGGGCATGAGAACATGCCTTTGAAGGGATATTGGAACCTCAATAAAGGATAAAGGAACCTGCTTTGGTTCCTGTCCCCCATGATGAGCAGGTTCCCTCTGCTCTGCCACAGCCCTGGAGCAGAAGAGCTAGTGAGCGTAGCTAGGAAACTCTGAAACCCTGAGTTAAAATAAAGCTTCCCTTACAAGTTGTGTTTGTCTGGGTGCTTTGGTCACACCATGCAAAGCCCCAAGTGAGGCCAGTCACAACAACAGAACTGCTCTGGATTACCCTGTCTGTTTTCCTGGTAAGCTACAAGCAGGTAAGAACAGCTAAGGTGGTCTGTGGAGTTTATGACCGGACTCGAACCAGGAGGTGGTCAATAAGCAGGCGCAGACCGGAATCAAACACAGAGACACATGGCTAGTCGGTGAAAGGTCCTTGTTGGTGACACTCTGCCCTGATCTCTTACTGTACCCTATACACAGCTCCAGCCGTGCTGAGCCTGCCCTGCCTTCTTTTCCAGCCTGCGGCAGCCCCAGCTGCAGCAGCTCTAGTCCACCACAGGCACAGATCTCTTAGGAAGCTGTGCAGAGGCCGACACACTCCGGGCAGGCCTTGCTCCGGGTCTCTAACCCCAGTTCCAGTGGAACCGACACACCTGTTCTTGGCACCGCTGCATCCAACACTATCTCCATATAAAGCCATTGTTTGTAGACCATTGCCTGCTCAAGCCTTGAAGAGCCCCAGGGTAATGCCACCAACGTTTATTGAGGGTTTCCCATGTGGTTGGCACTTTTCTGGGTGAAAGCTGTGGACATACCAGTGCCCTTCTGTCTTCAAGTCCCCAGAGCCATTCCACCTCCCACAGTCACCGTGGCAGTTTCTGTCTGGGCAGGTTGTCATACATGGAGGAAGAGCATTGCACAGTCGTGAACAGAGAGCCTTTGCCCAGGCTTGAGCTCCAACCCTAGCAATTGTTCGTCCTGCTGTGGTAGCCCTCACCTCTCCAGCACGAGGACAGGTTCTCAGCAGCCGGAACTGGTTGAGGTTAGGAAATGCCACCAGCTCTCTACTCCCTCCACCGAGCTGGCTCGCCCTCTGTCTCTGAGAGGATCAGGTTAGACGAAGATTCCCCAGGACAGACACTGGCTGGCCTGGGACTCATTCTGCAGCCTGCTGCTGAGGCTGGCTGACGTGATGACAATTCAAGTTGGGAGATATGCAGAGAGGCACGGAATATGGAGGTCAGTGTTTGGGATAGGAAAATACCCAGACTGCAGAGGCTCTTTCATCCCAGCTACTTAGTTCCTCAGTCATGTGCCAGACCATTGACTGCTTCAACTGTCATGGAACCCAGAGGGACCCAAGAGACCCAAAATCCATGACTCTCATCCACGGTTCTAGCCTCTGGCCAAGCTATACTCAGCACTCTCTTTAGAACTCAGGCCAAATGTCTTCTTGGGAGAAAAATAACAAGAAAAAAAAAAAGAAGAAGAAGAAAAGCAATGAAGTTTCCAGTCACTGACATGAGTGGTTTTTCTCTCTCTCTCTCTCTCTCTTTCTCCTCTCTCCCTTTCTCTTTCACACACACAAACACCACATTCAGTAGAACTGCCTTCCTAGATACATATACACATGTGTACACATGTCCTCTGAGACACACTATGGATTCTTCTGGAACAAAGGAAGTGGTTTGAAAGAGCATAGGAAGTAGTCCAGAAATAGAAGGATTAGATTAATTTAATACTTTCTATACTCAAAGGATAGGATCAGTGGCTTCTGTAGAGCCAAGCAGAATGACTACTGGTCTCTTGGGTCCAAACCACCATCTTCTTTGGCTGAATGGGTTCCTACCCATCCCTGTTGTCTTCAGGACTACTCCAGTAACGCCATCTCTCAATGCCTTGCCCGGCTTCTTCCTTGGTGATACTCGATAGCCAGGGTCTCAACCTTGGACACTCTGTGCTGTCTCCATCCTCTTCTTTCCTGCTGTAGGCTCAGATGGCCTGCTTCATTAGCTGCTCGGTCCTGAAGCTCTCTCTAGCTCTGCTGGTTGCCACTAGAGGTAGTGTTTCCACTGACAGCAAGCAGACGGTAGAGGGATACGGATAGATGGGCAGACTTCGTCTTCTCCATGCTGCTGCCAGTGTCCCAGTCTGTGCCCTCTTCCTAGCCTGTGTTAGGGCTGAGGGGTGTCAGAAGTGCCTGGAGAGGGTCCCACAGCCTCAAGAAGCTTCTGATGCTGGCGAAGATGCTTCCTCCTTTCGTGTTCTCCAGTGACTTCACACATCAACTGGGCAGGGAAGGCTCCAGGAAGCCCCTTAAGCCAACCTGGGGAAAGAAAAATAGGCTTGTGGGGAGCAGGGGCCGAGATCCGGTGGCTGGGGAAGCAGGCCCTCTGGGTCCTCAGGTCATGGTGGGTTGGGAAGTAGTGGAGAAGCAGAGTCCAGCATTCAAATTCAGTTACCACCTCTCCCGGAAGTGACATCAGCATCTGGGAGGGGCTGTGGCAGTTCTAGGTCAGGTCCTGCCATGACTGCTCCTGTTACTCAATCAGAAGAACTTCTGGGCTTGAGAACTGGCTCAGAAGTTAAGAGAAATTGGTGTTCTTCCAGAGGACCCAGGTTCGAGTCCCAGCACCCACATGGTAACCCACAACCATCTTTAACTCCAGTCTCCAGGGACTCTTCTGACCTCAGCAGGCACCAGCCATACACATGTGCACAGACATGCACGCAGGCAAAACACTCATACACATAAAATAATAAAAAAGATAAATCTAAAAAATAATATAAATAAATCTAAAAAAAGAATTCTTGCAAGGGACTGCAGGATCTTATCTGTTATTCCCTGTGACCTCATTTGTTCCCAGTTCCTCTTCTGGATCAGTGTAGGCACACTGGCCTCCCTGCAGCTCCTCTTCTGGATCAGTCTAGGCACACTGCCTCCCCTCCCCGCAGCTCCTTTACTGCACACCAGGCCCTAGGCCTTGCTCAGCTCGTGCCCTCCAGCTGGTCTACTCCTCCTCCAGGCACTGAATACCTAGATTGAGCACCCCATCAGGCTCACACATTGCCTCCTAGTAAGGTCTGTCTCACTGGACTATTTGAGATCCTACCAAACCCCAGAACTCCCTCCTGCCTTACTCCATTCTTTTTCCAGGGCACTCATCCCCTTCTAACATACTACATATTATTTATATTTACTTATCCCATTTAGACTTGTTTTGTTTGAGACAGTATCTTGGTATCTAGTTGTAGCTGGTTCAGAATTCACGATAAAACTCAATCAAACAGAAATCCTCCTGTCTCAACCTCTCCAGTACTGGGACTACACATATGGGCTGTAAAAAATGAGTTCCTAGTACTGGAACTCTATTTTTTTTTAAGGAAGAGTCTCATCCAGGCAGTGGTGGCACATGCCTTTAATCCTACCACTTGGGAGGCAGAGGCAGGCAGATCTCTGTGAGTTCGAGGCCAGCCTGATCTACAGAGAGTTCCAGGACATCCAAAGCTACACAAAGAAATCTACCTTGAGGGGAAAAAAGAGAGCAAAAGAGTCTCACTATGTGGCCCTGGCTGTCCTGAAACTCGCTGTGTAGAACAGACTGGCCTTGAACTCACAGAGCTTAATAGCCTGTGCCTCTCAAGAGACAGAATCAGAGACCAACATCAGTGACACCATGCTTATTGTCTGCTTCCTCAGTTAGAAAGTATACTCCAGCCGGGCGGCGGTGGCACGGGCCTTTAATCCCAGCATTTGGGAGGCAGAGGCAGGCAGACCTCTGTGAGTTCAAGGTTAGTTTGGTCTACAGAGTTAATTCCAGAACAACAGAACAGGTTCCAAAGCTACAGAGAAACTCTGTCTTAAAATCACCATCCCCTCAAAAGAGTATACTCTAGGGCTGCAGGGTGTAGCTCATTGGTACAGCATTCGCCTATCATGTGTTAGGCCCTGGACTCGATCCCAGCACTGCCAGGGGGAAGAAATGCTTATATCAGCAGAGCTTAAAACACTGTTTGGCTCATGGTGTTCAATGAATAATTTGCTGAGTGAGTACATGCAAGGCTCTCTCACCTTCAGGATTCTTGTGGGGATGCTTGCGGTGAGCCTTGGAATCCAGGCTTTGCCCCTCTGTCTTGGAAGGTGTGGATGACTCTGAACTCAGCTCCTGGGAACACTCTGGTGGAGGATGGGTAACACTATAGTGGGATCCCCTTTCTTTTTAGTTCTTATCCCGTATCCCCCTTAGGACTCACATTTTCCCTCCTCCTCCTGGGAGATACTTACCACAGTCTTCATAGATGGTGTCTGGGGAACAGGGAAGGGGACCTGGGGTGGGAAAGGCCCCCAGCCAGCGCTGCATGTCTGACCTAGTGGTGAACATAGGAGATTCACAGGTGACCCAAGAACATAAAATAGAGGCCATGGAGGACAGAGACGAGCAATAGAATATAAAGACGTCAGGTGACCATTCTAGGGTGGCTTGCTTGTTTGCGGGTTTGACAAGGCTGCTCAGGCAGGCCTCAAACTTTTGGTCCTCCTACCAACTCCAGTCTTCCCGGTGTTCAGATTATAAAGGTATGCCACCATGTTGGTTTGTTCTCTCCTGCAGTGCCAGGGCTGAATCCAGGGTCTCATGCGTACTGGGCAAGCTCTCTACCACTGAGCCACATCCCCAACCCCCAAGAGTGTTTTCTAGCGTCATGACTCACAGTGAGGCCGCTTGGAGTAGCCTGTGGGTGGGGCGACCCTGGTGGTTGCTTAGAAGGGAGAGGCGAAATGTAGGGGGTCCAGATGGGTCAGGAACCTGCTGGGCCTGCACCAGGGAGCGATGGGCATAGTCCAGAACCTGCAATCGCTGCCCACTACCCAGGGAAGAGGGCGTTCAGAGGAGAGCAGGTGCGTTCCGCTAGATGCCTCTTCTTCACTCTAGCTTGGGCTTGCTCCCCTCCCACGCAGGACCCACCTCTTGGGCTGAGTGATAAGCAGCAGATCGCTGAAGAGCAGCAGGCAGAGGGGAGTGAAGCGGGGGCGGGAGGTGAAGAGCACACCCCCCCTCCGACATCCCAACTCTGTCAGCTCCCCCTGTAATTCCAGGCGCCGTGACCAGGAGACCAGGGGTAGAGCCTGAGAGGAGAAAAAGAAGGGTTTAGCCTCGCAACCTGGTGAGGAAAGGCAAGGCGGAGAGTCTGGGCAGGACTAACCTTGACCTTGTGGAAACGCAACCTTTGCGTGAGGCGGATCAATTCTTCTGTCTGCTTCATGCGCCCCACCTCAGCGCTGCAGCGCTCAATGATCTGGTGAGGGGAACTGAGTCACCCATCCCAGCCAGCAGCCACCTGCTCCCTTCCACTTCCCCTCTACCACTTGGCACCTTCCCTCCTCAGCTTCCATCCTGCCCACCTTGCTCACAGCACCCAGGGCCTTCTGGGCGTTCTCCTGGCGACTGGACCCCTCCTCTGTCTGGCCCAGGATGTTCTGGAAAGAAAGAGGGAAGGGTGACTGAGACCCTCTATTGCCCTGAAATTCTGAGTCGCTGTGGACTCGGCCCAGCTTTGCCAAATGTTCCGTTCAGGATTCACAGGGCTCCCAAGATACCCCTCAGCAATGCCATGAGACCTACCATTTACCAGCTGCCAGAGCCTGAACAAGTCATATTACTTACTGCTCACAGCCTCAGTTTCCCCACTTTTAAGATGCAGCTGATATCTATTTAAATTTAGTACATTAATAATATTGTGAGGATTCAAGGTGATATTTAAAGAGGACTTAGCACAGTCCTTGGCACACCATAAATGCTTGGGGGGGGGTTCTTTTTTTTTTTAATAATTACTAGTCTAACAATATAGCAGGGCAGTTAGAAATGCCTGGATTTCTATGTCTTTATTTTTAGCGCGTATATTTTTCTGAGGCAGCATTTTTCCTAAGCAGCCCTGGCTGCCTTGAACTCTAAATCCTTCTGTCAACCCTCTGTAATGCGGGGATTACAGGCATGCACCACCACTTCTGGCTCCATCTATTATTTTTTGCATGGCCTAGGCCAAGTTATTGAAACTGCACCGTTTCCTCCTTTATAAAGTCATGTAAATAGTGGTTCCTGGGCCAGGCAGTAGTGGCTCACACCTTTAGTTCCAACCCTCAGGAAGCAGAGGCAGGCAGATCTCTGTGAGTTCGAGGCCACCCTGGTCTACAGAGTGAGTTCCAGGACAGTGCCCAAAGCTACAGAGAAACCCTGTCTCAAAAAACCAAAATAAATAAATAAGTAAACAATGGCTCCTGCCCTCTCTCACACTGCGCACCTGTTATCCCAACACTCTAGAGGCTGAGACAGAAGACTACACGTTTGAGGCTGGCCTGGGCTGCATAGTGAGTTTTTAAAAAAAAATAACAAAAACAAACAAACAACAAAAACAACAACAACAACAACAAAAAGCAAAGCCAACTGTCTCATAACAAAGAAAGAGAAAAAGAAGACAATAGCAGCAGCATTTAGTTGGACATTCTTTGTATTTTCATACTGGGGCTGGAGAGATAGCTCAGTAGTTAAGAGCATTGATGCTCTTCCAGAGGTCCTGAGTTCAATTCCCAGCAACCACATGGTGGCTCACAACCAACTATAATGGGATCTGATTGATGTGAGAGATGCCCCTCTGCAAGCTGTGAATGTTTTATGACTATTATTAATAAAGAAGCTGCTTTGGCTTATGGCAGAACAGAATTAGGTAGGAAATCAAAGCAGGGAGGGAGGGAAAAAGAAGGCGGAGTCCGGGAGAGGCCAGCTGCTGTGGAAAAGCAAGATGTGAGGTACAAACCACGAGCTTTGTGGTAAAACATAGAATAATGCAAATGGATTAATTTAAGTTGTAAGGACTAGTTGATAATAAGCCTGAGCTAATAAGCCAAAATTTTTAATTAATATTAAGCGTCAGAGTGGTTATTTGGGAACTGGTGGGCAGGAAAGAAACCTCCAGTTACATCTGATGCCCTCTTCTGCCTATCTTCATGCAGATAGAGCACTCAGACATAAAATAAATAAGTAAATCTAAGAAAAAAAGATTCCAATACTGCCAGGCATGGGGTGCACACTTTTAATACCAGCACTCTAGAGCTGCTGGTGAGTAGATCTCTTGGAGTCAGGTCAGCCTGAATACATAGCCACACAGCAAGCCAGCCATAACTACATAGCGAGATTTTTGTCTCAAAAAGAAAAAGAAAGAAAATTTCAAAACTGGAGGGGGGAGCTAAAGAGATGGTTCAACAGTTAAGAGCACTCAATACTCTTTCAGAGGACCCCAGTTTAGTTCCCAGGATCCACAGGGTAGCTCACAACTGTAACTCCATCTCCAGAGGATCCAACTCACTTTTCTGACCTCCACTGGCACTAGACACACATACACATATGCAGCAAAACACACACATAAAATCAAAACATATAAATCTTTTTTTTTCCCAAGGCAGGGTTTCTCTGTAGCTTTGGAGCCTGTCCTGGAACTAGCTCTTGTAGACCAGGATGGCCTCGAACTCAGAGAGGTCCGCCTGCCTCTGCCTCCCGAGTGCTGGGATTAAAGGTGTTCGCCGCCACCTCCCGGCTCATATAAATCTTTTTCAAAATTCTCATACTAGGTGAATTGTCAAAGGAAAATCTATACTTTGGGTTGAAAGGTGCTTCTCTGGCTCAGAGGATAACAGCTTTTGTGGGACCTACAAAGAGAAATTCAGAACTGGCTCCTGCAAGGTGTCCTGCAATGGCTCAGCGGGGAAAGGCATTTTGCGGTCAAGCCTAAAGACCTGAATTTGATCCCCGGATCCAGGTGATGAAAAAAGCAAACTGACTTCTGCACGTTGTCCTCTGACTTCCATGTACAAACCAACCAACACACACACAAATAGATATAAAAAAGTGTTTCGTAAAAGCCCCATTTTTTTCCTCAGGAACTTTTTTATCCCACTAAGGAACTTTTTCATTTATTTAAATTTTATTTAGTTAGTTGCACTGGAGATTATATCCAAGGCCTAGTCTAGTATACTCTAGGTAAGCTGTCTACCACTAAGTTACAGTTTTCAACCCCGGCGTACAGCCACCATAAAAACTGAATTTTATAGACACACTATAAATCTACGTATTTACCATGGCCCTTTGAAGCCCACAGTCACTGGGATATTTAAGGTTTATTTTTTCATTTCTCCCAAAACTTACTGCTTGTCCCTTTGGAGATCTCAATTAGTTAGAGACTGAGCCAAAGAAAGTCTAAAAGGTTCTTTCTGCTCCCCAGAGGCGTTTAGGGAGCTGAGGTTGGAAGATGTCTCCCTGAGAGAACGTCTGTGGTCATGGTGGGACAGGAAGTGATGGTAACTAGACCAGAGGCCTTGGAGAGAGTTTCCATTGCAGAGCTGGTAGCACGGAACAGGCACCAAGCCAGAACAGTACCTGCAGCAGCATTCGGAGCCGTGTGATTCGCTGGAAGGGCAGCAGCAGGAAAGATGGCAGTGGGAGCCGCTCACATTTGGGGAGGCTCTGCAGCCTTCGCAGCTCCGCAGAGAAGCGCACGTTAGTGTCCCTGTCAAGAAAGCCCAGATGCCTAGGAGTTCCCTGAAGCAGGGGCCTCAATCCTCCAGCCAGCTCTGGTCTCAGCCTTAACGACTTCATAGGTTCCTCCAACTCTGACATGCAGAAGTCCCCTGTCTCTGTAGTTTTGTTTTCATAATTTCAATTACCCAATGCCATTAAATGGAACATTCCAGAAACAACAATTCGTACATTTTGAAATGATATCTTTCTGACTAGCAACGGTGCCCCACCCTATCTCATCTGGAACACTAATAATTCCTTTATCCAGGGTATTCATGCCCATATACTACCCACTTGTCAATCACTTAGTAGCTCTCCTACCTGTCAAACTGTGGTGTATCGTGGACCTGTGTTCTCATAATCTTTAATTTACTTACTAATGTCCATCAAGTGCAAGAGTAGTGATGCTGACAATTTTATTACATTATATTGCTCTAGGTTTTCTATTTTGTGATTAGCCATTGTTGATCTCATACTGGGCCTAATTTATAAATCATTTTCTTAGAGATGGATGTATAAGGTCAGTACTAGCCACCAGTGGTCTTGGAACACATTCCGGGGTGGGGGAGGGTAAACCAGTGTACTCACATAAGGCGGCTATAGGTCTCCTCCTGATACTGTTGGTTCCGTACATAATCCACATACACTGAGAAAGGACCAACTGCGTGGGCATGCACCACATCACACAGGTCACTGATGTGTGGGGAAGAGCGAACACGGGATAGTAATGTTCCTAGAAACCTGAAAGCACAGAGGAGGCAATGAATGGAGGGACAGAAAGTCTGGGAGGAAAGATCTGGAAGAGGGAGGAAGCTAAGGAGGCCCCATTCAGCAGCCCAAGGCCCACTGACCGCTCACTGACACCCTGGACTCGCTGCACGTTGGAGAAAAGTGTGTGGTGATCCCGAGGAGTGAGTGTGTCCCGGAGAGCCCGGCTCAGGACGAAGGTGTCGGTCAGTAGCCTCAGAGAGCGTAGGTAGGAGGCCTCTGAGGTCACCACCTCAAACAGGCTCTAGACAGGAGAGCAGGACCACAGTAGAGAGCCGGCCACCTCAGCCAGCCCTGACTCAGGTCAGTCCCGCTCTGAGGTACCCACCTCCTGCATGCGCCTTTCCTGGGGGCTTAAGCTCTCTAAGAGGCCACTGGCTCGCACAGCTGGGAGCTCCTGCCATAGAGTGTTTCGAGGTCCGGGGAGCCTGGAGAAGGTGGGAGCTTCTCCGGGATTAGCCGGAGAGGGGCTCCCGTCCTCACTCACACCCCACAGCTCCTCTGAGAGCACAGCTGCTCTGTAGGTCTGGTATAATGGTTCTGGAAGGTAGACAGGGACCATCAGGGAGGGCCAGGGCTCAGGACCCTTCCCTCCTGCCTGGCACAGGAGAGACCTACCGTCCTGCAGGGGCAGCTCCCACTGCTGCTCCTTCAACCCCTCCAGCCCTTCCTCATCCCTGTGGAGGAAGAAAAGAAGACATGTGAGATCCATTCTGAGGGTGTGATTCACAGGGTAGCAGAGGAGAGAGATACAGAACTCATGTGCACACTGAGAGGAGGGGGTCCTGAGAGCTCCCAGACCAAACTCCAGATGTTCCTATGTGCCTGTCGGAGGGAAGACCCTTGGCAAAGCAGGCCCCAAACATTTCTGCTCCCTCAGCTACTGTGCAGTCGATACTTCAAGCTCTCTCACACAGAAGCACTGTCCAGAAAGTCTTCTTTGTGGCTTAGTCAAACTCACCATGGTCAAACACTCACTCCTGCGGCTCACTGGCTCCCGTCTCCTAGTTATCTGCCATGCAGCCACTCTCTCAAGCTAAAAGTTGCTGAAGGAAATATTCTCTCTCTCTCTCTCTCTCTCTCTCTCTCTCTCTCTCTCTCTCTCTCT